TCCTCAATCGTAACGGTGTAAAAAATTATTCATGTTTGGAATAAGAACTGTGAAAAACTGGACTGTTTTGTTATCAAAATTTATGTATTTTAAAACTATCGTTCTATTACAAAATAAAGATGGAGTGGATATCACACTCTTCTGATAATATAATATGTCCAGAAATTATATTAACTTGTGTTTCGGAAACATTAATTAACTTTGTTAAAATGATGACTAGAATTCCTTTAGACGACATTATATATTTTATAGCACGGAACAACAGGTGTTTCCTTAAATCCGTATATAAATGTTAATGTCCCCCAGTGTATGCGGACTTACAACGCTAGAATCCGGGTTTCGATACCCGTGGTGAGCAGAGCACAGATAGCCCATCGTGTAGCTTTGTGCTTAATTACAAACAAACAATAAATGTTAATACATTTTTAACATTATTTTATATCGATTGCTCTCAGTTTGTTTGTTTGTTTTCTAATTTTCTCATAAAAAATACAACGTGATAAACTAGAGATAATTTATATAGTCAACATCACCCACCGCCAACTCTTGTCTAAACCAATAGTAAGATTTTACTGTCGCACCCAAAGTACATAGCAAGGGTACGTTCCCCGGTGAGACAGCGGTAAATTTCCATACTTATAACGCTAAAATTAGGGTTCGATTCCCTGCGGTGGACACAGCATAAGGCCCAATGTGGTTTTGCTCTTAAACTAACAAAATCACGTGTATTGCGGCAATGGGGCGCGAATCATAAATCTTCATATACACAGTCCGAAAACGTTAACTACTAGGCCACGCAAGATTTTATGAAAAATCTAAATATTAAGTTCTGATTGTATGTAAATACTAAAAAGAAGATAAAATAAGTAAAAGACCTACAAAAACAATGATTTGATTTCTATAAATTTTATCCAAATAAAATTAGATGTTTACTAGCTTATTCAAACATAAGAGTAAATGTAGGGTTAACTAAAAATAGACCAACGCTTTTGTAGGGTACATAACGTTGGAAGATAACTTTCTGAGGTAGTTTATAGCTTAAGAATGCGTTTGGGTGTTTCTGGGGTGTAAGCTATAGTTGTATTGGTTTTTCTGGTGAATTAATTAGTCGATAAAAACTTATAAGTAGAACGTTACTAGTAGCTTGATATTCTTTCATATTTCACAAGTTTCGTCACTACAAGTTTTTTGCCGCTGCATAGCGGCTCATAGAACTGCTCTACGTTTTATAAGTACAAACTTTTAGTTCAGAGCTCCGTCATCATTTGACCGATTTGAGATCTAATTACAGTTTTAGACTCAGCAGGCCAAACCCTTTCGATTGATTTATTTGACCACGCCCAAGGTCTCATAGATTAATTTATTCTAATCCTGACTAAAAGAATTTCATTTTGAGGGTAGGCTGCTGGAGATCCTGATGAGTAATAAAATCGAATCGGGTATACGCGCGCCCTACGTTGGTATTGCTGGCGCACAAAAATATAGCTAATAAAAAGGAAAAAAAAAAGTCTCATAGATTAATTTATTCTAATATTGCCTAAAAGAATTTCAAGTGCCGCGGCTATTGAGAATTCCCTCTTTTTCAATAAAGAAGTATTTTTTTTTTTATAAACAAATATGCCAGAAAAATAGTGCAAACTCTGAGATAAGTTTGTTTGTGAAATTTAACGAAAACATATCTAAAATGCATCTGATAAATAAGAAAAAAATCGTGACGTCTACCCGTAATGTAAGCCACTAACAATAAAAGTGTAAGTGAAGCCTATGTTATGCAGACAAAAACATATATCCGGAAGTATATAATGTCTCAGGTAAAATCTTACGAGTACATGTATCATACAAGTACTTTGTAACTTTCCATCTCAAGTTCTCTACCGGTATTTCTTTCACGTAAAAGGCTTAAGTAGAAAAGTGGGAAGCAGCTACACCCAAGATTCTTCCCTTGCATGATGTTGTACATAAATTGTAAGAAGTGCATGTAAATTACCTAGTGCTGATTTACGAATGTCGGGATACTTCTATAACTATATGGTCACGTGGCAGAATGAAATATCTCGCACATGTAAAAGCAAACCGAACTAACCAAACCTGTAAAGTATTTCCAAAATCAGATAGATTGATATACACAGTATGATTGTTAAAGTGTATATACACACAGTAAGATTGTTAAGGTGTATATACACACAGTATGACTGTTAAGATGTATACATACAATATGATTATTAAGGTGTATACATACAGTATAATTGTTAAGATGTATACACACAGTAAGATTGTTAAGATGTATACATACAGTATGATTGTTAAGGTGTATATACACACAGTATGATTATTAAGGTGTATATACACACAGTATGATTGTTAAGGTGTATATACACACAGTATGATTGTTAAGATGTATACATGCAGTATGATTGGTAAGATATATAAACACACAGTATGATTGTTAAGATGTATACATGCAGTATTATTGTTAAGGTGTATACACACAGTATGATTGTTAAGGTGTATACACCTTAAAATGATTGTTAAGATGTATACCTGTAGTATGATTGTTAAGATGTATACATGCAGTATGATTGTTAAAATGTATACATGCAGTATGATTGTTAACACGTATACATACAGTATGTTTGTTAAGATGTATACATACAGTATGATTGTTAAGATGTATACATACAGTATGATTGTTAAGATGTATATACACAGTATGATTGTTAAGATGTATACACACAGTATGATTGTTAAAATGTATACATACAGTATGATTGTTAAAATGTATACATACAGTATGATTGTTAACACGTATACATACAGTATGATTGTTAAGATGTATACATACAGTATGATTGTTAAGATGTATACATACAGTATGATTGTTAAGATATATACATTCAGTATGATTGTTCAGAGGACATAACATTTCGAAAAAAGGGTGTTTTTATTTTTTGTCATTGAAAAAAAACTCTGTCCAGCAGATCGTTTAGAGTAGCAACGGGCTCGAAACGAGAATTAACGGGAATCTTAACCAAAGCACATCCATAAAGTGAAGAGTACTGTTACAAAATGGAACCATCTGACCCAAACTTCTATTTTCATGAAGCTAGTTCTATCTTTTGCTGTTATTAATCTGACCCAAACTTCTATTTTTATGAAGCTGGTTGCATCTTTTGCTGTTATTAATCTGACCCAAACTTCTATTTTTATGAAGCTGATTGTATCTTTTGCTGTTATTAAAAAAGATAATAAAATGGAATCTAAAATTTAAGAACGTTCACAAGTTTCTAGCGATACCTCGAAATTAACTGACGTTTTTATAAGATAGTCGAAGAAATAAACTCACCTACCTGTAAACTAGGTTATTTCCTCTCCTCGTTACTTTGTTTACCTGTAATGTAGGTTATTTCCTCTCCTCGTTACTTTGTTTACTTGTAAACTAGGTTATTTCCTCTCCTCGTTACTTTGTCTACCTGTAAACTAGGTTACTTCGTCCTCTCCTCGTTACTTTGTTTACCTGTAAACTAAGTTACTTTTTCCTCTCCTCGTTACTTTCTTTACCTGTAATGTAGGTTACTTCGTCCTCTCCTCGTTACTTTGTCTACCTGTAAACTAGGTTACTTCGTTCTTTCCTCGTTACTTTGTTTACCTGTAAACTAGGTTATTTCCTCTCCTCGTTACTTTGTTTACTTAGGCTACTCTTCCACTTGTATATCTCTACTATAACGCTGTGACTTTTACTTTTTTCCCCTTTTCATTGATCCTTTGCATAGGTCTCCTATGAAATTATTTGATTTTTCTCCCTCCTCTTTTTTCCACCTCTACTCTCAAACTAAGTAGCTTTCATATTACTTTCTTCTACTTCTACTCTCAAACTAATTAACTTTCTCACTCTTTGTTACTCTGTCTTCCTTTTTAAACTAGGCATCATATTGTTCTCACTCGTTGTTATTTTGTCTACCTTTTTAAACTAGGTATCATATTTTTCTATTTTTATCAGCACCCTAATATGGAAAAAATTACCTTTTCTGTTCCTCTATCTTAACAACCATAATAACTGACCCTCTTTTGGTTTCTGTTTTCTTTCTCATTCTAATTTTTGATTTTAATGTTCCATCTTCAGCCAGCCAGTTCTTTTAGTCGTTGTTTTCAAGTCTATATAACTCATTTCTCTTTCCCCCCTCTCACATAACATTATTTAAGTTCGTTTAGTAATCCTATATTTTACCAGACTTATTCCTTCATTTACACATTTTGTTTTTACTTCTTACTTTTCTGTCGCTTTCTCTTGGTTTCCCCACATTTCTTTATTGTGTATCTATATTCCTGGTTACACATTTCTTTATTGTGTATCTATATCCCTGGTTACATATTTCTTTATTGCGTATCTATATCCCTGGTTACACATTTCTTTATTGTGTATCTATATCCCTGGTTACACATTTCTTTATTGCGTATCTATATCCCTGGTTACACATTTCTTTATTGCGTATCTATATCCCTGGTTACACATTTCTTTATTGTGTATCTATATCCCTGGTTACATATTTCTATATCCCTGGTTACACATTTCTTTATTGTGTATCTATATCCCTGGTTACACATTTCTTTATTGTGTATCTATACCCCTGGTTACACATTTCTTTATTGCGTATCTATACCCCTGGTTACACATTTCTTTATTGCGTATCTATACCCCTGGTTACACATTTCTTTATTGTGTATCTATATTCCTGGTTACACATTTCTTTATTGTGTATCTGTATTCCTGGTTACACATTTCTTTATTGTGTATCTATATTCCTGGTTACACATTTCTTTATTGCGTATCTATACCCCTGGTTACACATTTCTTTATTGTGTATCTATATTTCTGGTTACACATTTCTTTATTGCGTATCTATACCCCTGATTACACATCCCACCCTCTTTGTATTTGTACTATAATTTTCTGAAAATACCTATATCCTTAGTAATTTGAATAAAACAAATGTTTATCTTACCTCAGTATCTTGCTTTGTTCTCAGAGATGATAATTCACCACAGCGCCTCTTAGGTAACAATATTTTTAGTTTTTAGAATCTACGAAATGCGTTCTCAGAATAAGTTCGACTGAACGAACGTAGCGCGAAGCTCTCCACCACATGCTTGTTCTCCTACATATTGTCAGAACTCTCCTACTCCGAGCCCTCGTGAAAGCAGTCAGCTCTCCAGTTTCCACAACATCGAGTTTTTGTAGAAAACCCCAACAGCGCCATCTCCATGTAAAACTATTATTACTAAAAAAAAGACTACCATAGTTGCCTGTTATAAATTGGTCACTTTACAATTTACAAACGTTATAAAAAAACTATAATTGAAAATATAATGAAATAAATACTGTTCAGTTAGCCAACTGTTTTCGATACAAGTTATCATATTTCTTTTTTGTTGTTGTTTCATTTATTTAAGTGCAAACATGCACAACAGGCCATCTGTGCTGTGTCTAACGCAGGGAAAATACGCCAAATTTTGGCCTTATAATCCCTCAAGCTAACCACTGAGCCACGGATGGGGTAATTCTTATGTACAATTCACTTTCTTTTTAATGAAATTGAATTAGTTTTCTGTTCACAAAGTGAAATTAATATTTACGTATCAATGTATTTGTTTTTTACCCTAATACTTAACGTTTGAAATGGAAAAGCTTGTCTTTGTTGTTGTTTTTCAGTTCCAGGTACTCATGAGTTAGCAGAATCTGTTTTTTTTTTCTAAATTAAGTTTAGGATTCAGGCGAATTTCTAAGTTACATCAACAGTATAAAATATATTAAGAGGTATTTATTTTTGTTTATTTGTTTGAAGTCAAGCGCAAAGCTACACAATGGGCTATCTGTGCTCTGCCCACCACGGGTATCGAAACCCGGATTTTAGCGCTGTAAGTCTGCAGACATACTGCTGTGCCACTGGGGGCGGATATTTATTTTAACCCCAAAAGTTCGAAAGCGACAGTAGTTTTATTTTACCATAAAGGTTCCTGTAAAGCGAAAATAGAGTTTGTTTTAATCCTAAAAATTCATTTAACATAGCTAGAGGTAGCTTTTGATAACTGGAACATAGCTAAAGGTAACTTTTTATAACTGGAACATAGTTAAAATTTACTTTTGATGGCTGAAACATAGCTACAGATAACGTTTGGTGACTGGAATATAGGTAAACTTTACTTTTGATGGCTGGAACATAGCTAAAATTAACTTCTGATGGCTGGGACATAGCTAAAATTAACTTCTGATGGCTGGGACATAGCTACAGGTAACTTTTGGTGACTGGAATACAGCTAAAATTAACTTTTGATGGCTGGAACATAGCTAAAATTAACTTTTGATGGCTGGGACATAGCTACAGGTAACTTTTGGTGACTGGAATACAGCTAAAACTAACTTCTGATGACTGGAACGTAGTTAAAATTAACTTCTGATGGCTGGAACATAGCTACAGGTAACTTTTGGTGACTGGGACATAGCTAAAATTAACTTCTGATGGCTGGGACATAGCTACAGGTAACTTTTGGTGACTGGAATACAGCTAAAATTAACTTCTGATGGCTGAAACATAGATACAGGTAACTTTTGATGACTGGAATATGACTAAAATTAACTTTTGATGGCTGGAACATAGCTAAAATTAACTTCTGATGACTGGAACATAGCTAAAATTAACTTCTGATGGCTGGGACATAGCTAAAACTAACTTCTGATGACTGGAACGTAGTTAAAATTAACTTCTGATGGCTGGAACATAGCTACAGGTAACTTTTGGTGACTGGAATACAGCTAAACCTAACTTCTGATGACTGGAACGTAGTTAAAATTAACTTCTGATGGCTGGAACATAGCTGCAGGTAACTTTTGATGGCTGGAATATAGCTACAACTAACTTTTGTGACTGGAATATAGCTACAGGTAACCTTTGATGGCTGGAACATAGCTAAAATTGACTTTTAATGGCTGGAACATAGCTAAAGATAACTTTTGTTGACTGGAATATAGCTAAAATTAATTTTTTGAGGGCTGAAATATAGCTACAAGTAACCTTTGATGGCTGGAACATAGCTAAAATTGACTTTTAATGGCTGGAACATAGCTACAGATAACTTTTGTTGACTGGAATATAGCTAAAATTAATTTTTTTGAGGGCTGAAATATAGCTACAAGTAACCTTTGATGGCTGGAACATAGCTAAAATTGACTTTTAATGGCTGGAATATAGTTACAGCTAACTTTTGTGACTGGAATATAGCTACAGGTAACCTTTGATGGCTGGAACATAACTAAAATTGACTTTTAATGGCTGGAACATAGCTAAAGATAACTTTTGTTGACTGGAATATAGCTAAAATTAATTTTTTGAGGGCTGAAATATAGCTACAAGTAACTAAAGGGATTTAAAATTCACCAGTGAGGTGTTCATCGTTTTATTTTGACCAATGTGACGAAGAAACACATATGCACTTCAAAGAAGTGAACAAATTGAAAAGACGTCTATATTTACAATATCTAAGGACATGTAAAACATCACCGCTTCTTTGAAGATTCTGATGGTCGTATTTATACTGACATTACCAGATGTTAGAAATCTGTGAAAGTAGTAAATGAAACGGAAACTGTTTGAAAAGGACAGGAAATACAGATCCAACTTAACGCTTATAAAATCAGTTGCAAAAAAGATTTACGTTGTAAGCACAAGTTTTTTTTTAAGATTTAGGTTGGCTGTAGTTATTATTGTCTATTTTTATTACAGGTTGTATACATTCTATAGGTTGGCCGTAGTTATTATTATCTACCTTTGTTACAGGTAGTATAAATTCTATAGGTTGGCCGTAGTTATTATCGTCTGCCTTTGTTACAAGTAATATAAATTCTATAGGTTGGCCGTAGTTATTATCGTCTGCCTTTGTTACAGATAGTATACATTCTATAGGTTGGCTGTAGTTATTATCGTCTGCCTTTGTTACAGGTAGTATAAATTCTATAGGTTGGCTGTAGTTATTATTGTCTGCCTTTGTTACAGGTAGTATGAATTCTATAGGTTGGCTGTAATTATTATTGTCTGCCTTTGTTACAGGTTATATACATTCTATAGGTTGGGTATAGTTATTATTGTCTGCCTTTGTTACAACTAAATATAGGCTTAGCACAAAGAAACACTAAATTCCTCGATTAGCATGAGAGTTATTTAGGTTTATTTCACCAAATACCCCGAGTAGCGCTACATCCAGCAACAAATAATGTTATCATCGACACAAAATGTTAATAAAAAGAACAAATTCGTTTAAAAAAGTTAGTTTTGACTAACACTAGTTTTATTCATTAATTCAAAAAAAAACGAATCCGTTTAGTGAAAAGACTGACTGCTTTGATTACCGCGAGCTTGGTTCATTAAAATAAAATTCGTTTAATAAAAAATACTTGTTTCTTTGATTGAATACAGATTTCCCTGATAAACTAAAGATGAGAAAACTCATGTTTTTTAGGGTTTGGTGTAATTTTGGGTGTGTTTTACTTGTTTGTTGTTAAACCCAGAGCTACACCATGGGCTATATGTGCTGTGCCCACCGGGGGTTTCGAAATCCTATTTTTAGCGTTATGGGCCCTTAGATTTACCGTTATGCCAACTGGGACACGTGTGATGCGACAGTGTTACGTAATACGGATGAAACCATTTATTTAAATATAAAACAGTTGATTGCAGTAATTGTGATTAAGGATTTCCAACACGTTAAATGATGGATTATTTGAGAATTAAATGAATTTTAGATAATTAAGAGTTAAACGTTGGATTATCCATGATATATTCACTCACTTATTGAAATAAAGACTTGGTATCTGGCTTTTTAAAACTATGAGGTATAACGTTGTTCATTTTCAGTGGTGAATCGACAGGAGATCATGAAATTGTCATTCCCCATATTTTCTGGTTTGTCTCGAGTTTTCATCCTTAATCTATCACGAGAGAGCAAAACAAAAATAACAACTGGCTCTTTAAAAGACGACCACTCTCTACTAATGTTTTACACTGCAGCTTCTCTTACAGGCATGAAACTTTGAATTAGACTCAACCTTTTTCTGGCACATCAAGAAAATAAAATGGATGTGTCTGTAGATTTCTTTCTCGTGGAGTTAGTAGACAAGTACAGAATATAGATGATTCGCCTTACAGAAGCGGTAGTTGTTACAGATGACGTTTTCCACATTCACTAAAAGGTTTCTCATCCACGCCATGTCTTAGTCTGACAAACGGCTGTCATAAATGACATTCATAAGAAAATGAAATTAACATTAGGTCAAGGTCAGCTACGACAAAACAACCTTTTCCAACATTTATTTTTAACTATGCTAATTAGAACCTTCTAAGCAGATGAAGTAACTAAATCAACCAACTGTTTAAATGTGGTATGCTATTAATTTTAATGTTTTATACCTTTCACTACCGGTGGGGTCCATACATTGTCTGTTACAGACTCAATTTAAAGACGAAACCAAATATATCAATTTAAATCAATATTTTTATGTAAAACACCTAAGGAACCCTACCGGTAATTAGTGGGATTGTGTAAAACAACCTCAACAATTAATTAGTGGAATTGTGTAAAATACGTAAGGTTTGTTTGTTTTGAAATTCGCACAAAGCTACACGAGGGCTATCTGCGCTAGCCGTCCCTAATTTAGCAGTGTACGACTAGAGGGAAGGCAGCTAGTCATCACCACCCACCGCCAACTCTTGGGCTACTCTTTTACCAACGAATAGTGGGATTGACCGTCACATTATAACGCCCCCACGGCTAAAAGGGCGAGCATGTTTGGTGTGACGGGGATCCCAACTCTCGACCCTCAGATTGCGAGCCGAGCGCCCTAACCACCTGGCCATGCCGGGCCAAATACCTAAGGAATCTCACATGTAGCTAGTGGGGTTGTGTAATTCACATATAATTTAATCTTAACAAAACAGTCAATCTACATTTTAGAATATTTCGTGTGACAATAACCGTAAATAGGTTGATTTTAACATAGTTTACCTGAAAATATACAATTAATGTTAAACGTATAGAATAATTTTCAGCTTGATTTTTTTCTTCTTCTCCTTGTAATTTAAAAAACTGAAGCTTTTACTCAAATGTCTTGTTTGGAAAACAATTAAACTGTAAATAAA